TCTTATAACTGCTTTTAATGTGTCCCATATGTTTTGGAGACTTGTGTCGTCATTGTCATTCTTCTCCAAGTATTTTTTAATTTCATCTTTGATCTTCTCATTGATCCAATGGTCTTCCAGTAGTGTGGGTTTTAGTCTCCATGTGATAGGTGGGTTTCTTGCCTTTTCCATATGGTTTATTTCTAGCTTGATTCCTTTGTAGGACCTCATATTTCTTGTGAAGAGATATTGATATTCACTAATTTCACAGGTTTTCTTTTTGATGAAATAATGAAATAATTATGTTTGAAACTGGAACTTTGAGGCATTACAGTGATTAAAAGATCCTTCAAAGAACTTTTTTTTTCTTTTTCCTTTCTGCTTGGACAGTATCTCATCATGCTTTGTCACTGAGTCTTGCCTTTTTTCTCTTAAAGGATCCGATTATCTTCTTGGTGATACTTCTGGGTAGGCACAGTGGAGGCCTCTCTGGTCATCTCCCCGTGGTTGTAAACTGCAGGAGGCCTCCAAGTGGGTGCCCACTACGGCCTCCTTTGGGCATTGTGTTGAGGAAGAGCTGGCATGTTGCTGACAATGAAGGGTGTTTGAGAAAAAATATTCACCAATGAGCATGCTTTAATATTTTTTTAAATTACACTTTACTTTCTAGAAAAGTTTCGGTTCACAGCAAAATTGAGGAGACGCTACAGAGAGTTGCAACATGTTCCATATCCTCATTTATACAGCTTCCCCTGCCCTCCATTCCTTTTTTTCACAATCGTGTAACCTACATTGACACTTCATTATCATCCATAGGCTGTAGTTTACATAGGGTTCACTCTTTGTGTCTTACATTCTGTGGATTTGGGCAAATGTCTAATGATATGTATCTGTCATATAAAGTAGTTTCACTACCCTAAAGATCTGTGTTTTACCTGTTCATCCCTTCCTCTCTAATCTTGGAAACCACTGATCTTTTTATCTTTTTGTTTCCATTGTTTTGCCTTTTCTAGATGTCACATAATTGAAATCATTTAGTATGGAGTAATTTTAGATTCTCCTTTCACTTAGTTGATGCATTTAAGATTCTTCCATATCTTTTCATGGCTTGATAACTCATTCCTTATTATCACTGAGTAACATTCCATGTCTGTATTATCATAGCTTAATTATCTGTTCAACTACTGAAGGATATTTTGATTACTTCAAAGTTTTGGAAATTATGACTAAGGTGGGCTTTTGTAAGGACTTACATTTTCAGCTCATTTGGATAAACATTTGTATGCAGAATTGCTGGATCATGTGGGAAAAGTGTGTTCATCATGTAAGAAATCACCAAATTATCTGCTAAAGTACACTGTATCATGTTGCATTCCCAGTAGCAATAAGTAAGAGTTCCTTTTGCTCTATATTTTTGTCACCTTTTGGTGTTATCAGCATTTTAAATTTTTGGACATTATAATAAGCATATAGTAGTGTTTTATTGTTTTGATTTCCCATAATGACATGTGTTGATCATCTTTTCATATACTGATTTATCATGTATCTATTTTCTGTGTTGAGATGTGTGTTAGAAGTCTTAGAAATTTTAAAAAGTTCATTGTTTACCTCACTGTTGAATTTTAAGAATTTTTTTCTGGATAATAGATCTTTTTTTTTTT